CCAGATTTATATTAAAAAAAAAGGAAACATTTCACTTAATTCAGAAAAAAATGGTTCTCTAATTGTGTTAAGATTTGTTCATTATAGAATGAAATGAAATTCGTCTTCTATAGTTCTGAAAAACTCAAGGGAAAAATTATCCCTTTTAAATGAGTTCAAGTATATCGACCTTGTTCAATTTAAAGGACATTATTACTTATAATTTTAGCAAAATTCCCTATCTCTTTTTCATTTAAGTATGTTTTCCATTTTTAATTTTCTTTACTCTATCTATATGTTCTCAGGTTACTATCACAAAAAAGTCTGCTTTCCAATATTTCTAAATATATATCTTTAAGTCTGGTTTGAATTGAGTACAATATACGGTAAATTGAAAGAAGTATACTGATTTTCAAAAACAATTGAAAATGTTATGAAGCAAATTTGTTCAATTTTCTTGCAAAACCATTGGGTAATTGAAAGTTTGAATTACATATCCAATGTTATCACATGTAGATGTTTGCGAGATGAACAATGTAATCACTATAACAATTCCTTAATAAATATAAGTTGTTTGATTATTGCTCAGTGGCAAATATTTCACGCATATTCAGGACAAGAAAACATTTAATTATTATTATACAATAGTTAGGTAATGCAAAGTTTGATAAAAGGCGGGACATTTGACTGCCACTTGGAAATGATGGTATATTGGATATGTGGGTGCCACATACTGACTTCTCAAAGAGTTGTTACAAGCTTGAGGGTTTCCGTGCAATCGGCATCAGATTTCTGACCAGACATGATTGCGTGTTTATATATCTAACAGATCAAAACGTATGCCAAACTTTAGCAAGGTTTTTACTGACGCACGGGAAAAGTCCAGGCCTAGAGTTGATCATATTTCTAAACTCGAGGAATTAACTACATTTTGAAAGAGTAACAATAGCTATATCTAGTCAACAACAAACAATTTTAAACAAAGGTGACGGACAAATCTGCTAGGCCAGTTTGTTACTCTATTTACAATAGCTAAAAAGTAAAATAAAAAAAATACCGAACTCCAAGAAAAATTCAAAACGGAAAGTCCCTTATCAAATAGCAAAATCAAAAGCTCAAACACATCAAACGAATTTTAATGAAGAATTCAAAGTTCCCCTATTCGAAAACGAGACCACTGTGTTCGAAGTCAGTCCTCTTGACCGATACTTCCCTAGCTCTACCGCTTCCGGCTGGTTAAATACCTACCAAGGGAATCAATCCCGTCACACAAGCAAACTTCACTTTTATTGTAATAAACTATTCATATTGACACTAGAAGTTCCCGCTATCTAATCGTTTGCGCACGCGACGAAAATCAACCATGCGATCTGAATGACTTATTCACTAATGTTTAGACTTGGGGCGATTAAGACATATATTGCATAATCCCTTGTTCATTGTTAAAACTGTACTTTTGCATTTAACTTTATTTTGAATTGTTGTAGTTGGATTGCTGTATTTTAACGTATATCCATTATAAATCATATTTTTCTAAACGCGTAGTATTCAATTTAGATAATTCGTTACTGCTGATTCATTTTTATTCGTGGGATACCAATTTTCGTTGATTTTGTTGGTAAAGATGATCCACGAATTTAAATGTTCAACGAAGTACACATTTTCTATAAGCTTATATGCAGGTTTTGGCAAATCTACGAACTCAAATATCTACAAAAGTGCAATATTCCCTCAATCCACGAAAATTTGAGACCACGAAAATAAACGAATCCACAGTGTTTCATTATTCAGTTTCATGTATAAGGGGAGGGAAGAATAGAGGTCCACGTACTGTGCATATTACAGCTACGTTTTGTTTGTTAAAATTCTTACGTGCATGCTTTCTTTCATAATGTTTGTTTACTAGTAGTTAGAAAACATAACAAAAACGTACAAGACAAACTGCATGTAAGTCTCAAGTGTCGAACTGTAATTATATTTAAGTTTAAATTAGTGCACTTCTATTGTAGTATAATGTATATTATATAATTATATAATATATGTCTGAATTCGCAACGTAAATGGTCTAATTATAAGTAAGATTGAATCATAATATAATTGTAAAAATAGTATATTTATCTATTTTGGTTGATACGTGTCACTCTTTGTTTTGTTAATGGCGGTCAAATAATTTTAATAACTTAAAGCTCAGTTATCAGTGCTTCAGTACTGACATGATTTATGAAATAGCTTTTTAAATAAACCGTTGATAAATTTATAGATTATTGGGAAACTATGACCCAACTCCCTCAGACAAAGTTGACCTTCGTTGCTCCGTGTTGAAGGCCGTACTTTGACCTATAATGGTTTACTTTTACATATTGTGACTTGGATGGAGAGTTGTTTCATTGGCTCTCATGCCACATCTTTTTATATCTACTTAGATGGATTCTTTTAATTTCCTTGTAGTTCGGCATTTTTGTTATACTTTTATTTTTTATTCTTACCAATCTTTTGAATTTAGCCAATTGTAATTGATTTTTACAGTTTGTTCTTATGTCGTGCTGTTACACCACTATCCCAGGTTAGGGGAGGGTTGAGCGCTCACAAACATTTTTAACAACACCACATTATTTATGTGCCTGTCCCACGGCAGCAACCTGTAGTTCAGTGGTTGTCGTTGGTTCATGTCTGTCATATGTGTTTTTTCGTAAATTTTTTTGTATTTTATGTATATCCAGGACGAGAACGAATTAACAATTAATACAATAGGTGGGTCCTGTAAATAATGTTAAGCAGCAAGTAGAAACATTTACAAAACCTGACCACAAACTGTTATAAACTTATGTCAGCAGGTCAAGACTTGAAGGTCAAACGTTGCAGTCTGGTCCAATCTGAAGAAACTCAATTACGTTACAGTATTTCAAATCCAGTATTTTACGAAAATTTTTTTTAGGAATTGTCTTTTTGAATCTATAATTTTTGGTTGATAAACCTGTTGATTGAAGTTATAAATTTTTATTGTTGTGCAATGATTGCGTCTGAAATATAGGATATACAACAATTCGCTTATATAAAGATTAAATTTATTTCCTGCATTGAAAGTCTGTAAAGTGTGTTCATGGCATGGCAAAAAAGCGTCTTTCTGTACTGTTTTTTTTTTTTTTTTTTTTTAGTTCCTGTGTTAATTCTTCTATGAAGTTCAGCCATTGCTATTACAGCTTTCTTATATCAATAGGTTCAGTACTTTGGGCGTCTTTTCACGACGGGTGCCACATGTGGAGCAGGATCTGCTTACCCTTCCGGAGCACCTGAGATCCCTCTAGTTTTTGATGGGCTTCGTGTTGCTCAGTCTTTAGTTTTCTATGTTGTGTTTTGTGTACTATTGTTTGTCTGTTGGTGTTTTTCTTTTTTACCCATGGCTTTGTCAGTTTATTTTCTACTTAGGAGTTTGAATGTCCCCCTGGTATCTTTCGCCTCTCTTCAGTTAATGATTGTATGTATAGTTAATTTTTTTTCGTCCTGGCTGAACATCCATTAAATATCTGCCACTGGACGTGAAGCATCCAAATCAATCATCCAGTTACTGTGAACAATCTTTGATACAGTTATATTTTTTTATTTCTTTACTTCTTTCTCTGTTGTTATTGTCAATTAATACCGGTACTCAAAATTTAAATATCTTAGTTTCTGATCTGAATTTTACTTTACGTTTTGATATGTGTCCTGTGTCTTCCTGGAATGCCAATATTTTATACAATATCTATTCCTCGAATGCCAACAAAATAAATTGAATATGTAATGTTTTAGTGATTGGATGAACACAATTTAATTATAAGAAAATATGTAATTTAAAGATAAAATTATTTTGCACCTTAAAAATCTTACATTTAAAAAACAATTTTAATTAAAATGAAATGGCATAAAATTGAAAAAAAATAAAATTGAAACAAATAAATGAAATCAGTTTCATTTGGTGTGTTTTTGTTCGCTATCTTTATACATGTAAGCCTCAAATCTATGTCCGGCCTCAAATCTGTGTCCTTTCTTCAGATATGTGTCTGTTTCTATATTGCGCCTTAGACGTCAAAAATAATAAAAGAAAAATAATTCCAAGTTCCCCCGCGTTGCACATGTTTTATATTTCCAAGGAGCATTACTCTTTTAAAAAGAGACGATCGTCCACCATTATAGAACTTGTCCGAGATATTGCTGATATTAACCTATAGTATAAGTTTTATAAAAATCTGGCAAGAATTGTACCAGTGAGAGCGCTAACGAGGCCATTTTACATAAATTTAATATTTCCAAGGTGCATAACTCTTTTTAAAAAAGTTGATCGTCCACCATTATAAAACTTGTCCGAGATATTGCTGATATTAACCTATAGTATAAGTTTTATAAAAATCTGGCAAGAATTGTACCCGTGATAGCGCGAACGAGGCCATTTTCAATAAATTTAATATTTCCAAGGAGCATAACTCTTTTAAAAAAATTAAGTCAACCAACAACCATTATAAAACTTGTCCGAGATATTGCTGATATTAACCTATAGTATAAGTTTTATAAAAATCTGGCAAGAATTGTACCCGTGGCAGCGCTAACGAGGCCATTTTCCATAAATCTATTATTTCCAAGGGGCATAACTCTTTTTAAAAAAGTCGATCGTCCACCATTATAAAACTTGTCTGAGATATTGCTGATTTTAATCTATAGTATAAGTTTTATAAAAATCTGGCAAGAATTGTACCTGTGAGAGCGCTAACAAGACCGGATGGACGGACACACGGACGCACGGACGGACGCCCGGTTTTTCCATGTCCCCTGCGACGCGTTACTGTTAATGCTCAGTCTTTAGTTTTCTGGGTTGTATTTTGTATACTCTTGTTGGTCTTTTCGTTGTTTTACTTTTTTGCCATGGAGTTGTCAGTTTAATTTGTCTTCGGCTTTTAAGTTGGATTTCCCTTTGGTATATTCCGCCTCTCTTTTTTGTCGACATGTTACTTTAAAAAATCCACCAACATACACCATTTATCACTTACCTTGCACTGCATGTTCATCCTTTGGTGCTTTATATGTCTGTTGTTTAGTTGTATATTCCCCTGAAGAATTAAATGCCATTTTCTTTAGCAACATTTTGATTTGTTGGGCTCTGTCTGAGATTGAGCTAATCAAAACATAAACTTGTTTACATATCTTAAGTATTCATGTTAAGTTGTTTGTACTTTGAATCTTATATTGTTTTTGGAATACTTTGCGTACGTAATATTGTTTTTAGTTTTATAAGACACATTTTGGTGTAAATAAAATTGTATGAAACTCCTTGTGTGAGCGCATTTAAAGGGCAAGAAACTTCTCCTTCTCGTTGTATTTCTTTATCTCAATCTTTTTTTTTTTTCATTTTCTTCTCTTAATTTTTCTTTCTGTATTTATTTTTCTCATTATATTCATATTTTGGAGCAACACATAAAAGTAGATGTTTGCTATTCGTTAATATTTTTAATTACCAAAATCAGATGGAACTCCCTATAGCATGTCTTCCAATATATATATGATAGCATTTTTTGTTATCTTAAATGTTCACTTCAATAATTGTAATTACACAACAATATATCTGATAAAAGACTTTCACAACATGAAAGTTATTTTCAAATGCTTTTATAATGTAAATTCCACACTTGAATTTTGAATGCAAACTGTTAAAAAAGTTACAAAAAGGAGAGTTTAAATAATATTTGAATTAAAATACGCCTTTCAAATGAAAATACATATTTCAGGCAAATAGCCAAAAGCCATATGATACATTTTGTAACTTAAGCTAGATGGAAATCCAATTTTAACAAATAATCAATGTAATAAATGTCTTCACTCACGAGAAACATATTAAAAATACATTTAAAAGAATGTTTTTTTTCATACTACAACCAATATTTGTTCACAAAAATAACATATTTCGTTTGAGTTAAAGATGTGAGGAAAGTGGGGTTAACCCAACGACGCAACTGAAAGTTACACCTAGAGACCAACATACAGCCTTCTTCGATAGACCGATGTCTTTACAATCAGATTTTACAAAAGGTTATGAATAAATTGAAGAAAAAAAAATAGTTATCTACCTTAGAATTCTCTTCAATAACACCAAAAAGAAAACATCCAAACCCACACAATTCCTGTAGAGTTACTGCAAAATCATAATTGTTTACGACTTTGAAAGAACCAGCTTTGATTTTTATCGTTAATTACCACTTGTGTATTATATTATATAATGATGTATTTTGCACCAGTTCGGTTTTAATATTAGGCCAATTATTATTATTATTATTATTATTATTATTATTATTATTGTTATTATTATTATTATTATCATTTCCTTTGTTTGGTGTAACTAGTCCACCGAAGCCCCTAAAGGGCAATGAATATGGAGTCAAACCTCTTGAGATAGGTAGTTTGACATTCGAATTCAATTAACATTAGATTTGAGCCTAGATAAGGTATTCGTATGATAAAGTGAAAGCATATTCTTATCTAGAATATCAGTGCATCTATTATAACAAGAGAATCCACCATTTATTGTATCAAGAGAATCCGAATTATTGTCCGAATGAATGAACCACCATTTATTGTAATAAGAAGTTGGTTGATATTTGCGTAATGTAACATGGTCTGCTTACTGTTCTTTTCCCTCAGACTCTCAACAGACGAACTACATCTGTGAGAGCTGGTTCTGATTTTTTTACATGTTCGGAGGAAACTAGCTGTGAACAATGCCTTTGATGGTGTATGGCATTGCTGCCGATGTAAAGGCAGGCCGGGCGTTGTTGCCGATGTAGAGGCAGGCCGGGAACAACAACAGGAAAGAAAACCAAACTAGAAAATCAAGAAACTCGCTATTAATTTAATAAAAAAATAATTAAAATATACAAAGTTTGAATGTCAAAATAAATTGAAAACAATAATAAAATACTACAAACAATTCAAATTAAATATCAAATAATAACAATAATAATTACTGTTAAATTCAACCTTTGAATTAAAATATTAGTTACTTATAAACTTTATTTATTCTTTTTCCAAAATAAAATTAAAAGAAAAATACTTTAAAATCTAAATTGTTTTCAAAATCAAGAGACTCACCTAGAACATCAAGAAACTCGCTATTAATATTATAGCGGCTTGATCAGTTTATATACTAATTTCTGAATGTCCTAGTAACCCTTAACTGATTGCAACAAACAAAAGAATTTATGCTTTATGAGTTATAAATAAAGTTGCTGACGCAGGTTGACCGCTGTCTAACTTCTAAGACCTTATGTCAAACTCTGCCAGACATACAACTGGAGGTCAGTCTGGCATCAGCCGAAGTTTTATAGAAGAGATAAGTTCAATATCAAAGGAATAATTGTAACGTCATCTATATCCAAAATTTATGTCAAATATCTATCACAATATATCACTCTCCTTAGAAATTTTGGACTCCAAAATTATATAAATAAAAAAAAAATATTTTAAAGAAATCGCATACAATTTTATGTTTACTATATTAATCTGAAAATGGATTTATAACTATTAATTATTAACGTAAATAAATAATTAATATCCATATTAAACCTCAAAACAATATAGAAGACAAGTAATTGAGAAGATTGCGATGCAAAAAAAAAATAAAGTATAGTATTTTGTTTTTGATTTTAAGCGATAAAAAAAACTTGAATCCTCTTTTTTTAAATATTTTTCTCTTTTTTTTTTTCTTTTTTTTTTTTTCATTTTCGAGACTGCATGTTAATCGTCCTGTTTAATTGGTGTTTTTTTTTTGTAATTCTTTATAAATCAATCGATGTCTTTGATGTTACAATATTTTGGTATTAATTTTAAATCGTTGCTCTTGAAAGTTTGTTACCCGCATGCTTACAATTGAACGTTTATTTTTACAGTTAATGAAATTTAATTAAAAATATATGCAAAGTGTTTTAAACAAAATGTTGCAAAAATATATGAAATATGAAAAGACTAGAATAAAACTTTAACAGAATTTGAATTGCTTACTTCAGTCTCTAAGTTACTGTTTAGTCGTTTATTTGGCGTTCCTGCTTCTGAGGTTACCCATTATATTAAATATTTGTGGCGTCCCTGCTCCTGAGGTAGCCCTTTATGTTAAGTATTTGTGGCGTTCCTGCTCCTGGGGTAGCCCTTTATTTAGTATTTTTGTGTGGCGTCCCTGCTATTCAGGTTGCCTATGCAATATGCTTGCCTATATATATATATATTAAATTATTATTACTTTGTACCGGTATTAGATTATCCAACAGTAAACGGCAACAAGAATTTGTCTAACTTGTTCCTAATAGGTAACTTACAAACAAGGAGATTTACTTTATGTAACCCTAAATGAAAGTTGAACCTAATCTTAAAGATGACTGATTGCAAATGATAATATTGACAAGCGTTTGAAATACAAACAAAGTTCTAATTAACATCATTCTGAAAAGTTATTCAATGGATGATTTAAATGAATAAATTTTACAACATTTTATCTAAAAATAATTTTATAACTTATTCAAACAGCATTTGAGTAAAGATTTTCTTAAAATTTTAAGACATGAAACGCAATACGATTTGTGAAATGAGAATGAACATTTTGTTTCATAGCTGAAAATTTAAAATTTAAAATTTAGATTGTAAAATAGATTTTAAATAAGCATTTGATATACTCACAGTTTCATGAAAATATATGTTTACAATAAAAATACACAAAAATATAACTTTAAAGTTATTAATGTCACTGATGTTGATAAAAGTTCTTCTTTGAAAATAATGCATTATATATATGTTCTTTGATATTCAGCTGGTGTCGTTGTTCAATGGTGTATTCTGATTAATTCACAAATAAATCATTTACTGGAAATACATATGAAATTAAATAGTTCGAACGGTACAAAAATAATGTTCAAATATAAATATTCCTGTTCGAATTGTCGAAACGCTAGCATGCTGTAAGGTCTGGATGTCGATGTTTGGTGTCAGCTTTTAAAAGTCGTCCAACATTTATTAACGGGCCTCCACCAATTATTGTGTCAAATGAATAAACGAATACTCCACCAATTATTGTGTCAAATGAATCCACCAATTATTGTATTATTGTATCAAACGAATGAATTTGAGTAAAGATTTGAGAAAATGTTTTCCATTTACTATTTCTTGCGCAAGAAAACCACATGCATCATAAATACTAATTTCACTCGCGGAATGTTAATTTTCGCATTTCCAATTTTAATTCGGGACACGACAGTAAGAGCTTGACATGTGACTTTGAAGACTTCTGGTATTCTGACCTGTAGTTGTTTCTTATCTTTTTTTTCTTTTTTTTTTTAAGTGACTGTACTATCATAAACTTTTAAATTTTCGAAAAACTAAGGAGTTTCTACCCAGAAATAGATACCCTTAGCTGCATATGGCAAAACCTATCGGAATTTTGGGTCCTCAATGCTCTTCAACTACGCACTTTATTTGGCCTTGTTTACCTTTTTTTCATCCGAGCGTCACTGTTGAGACTTTTGTAGATGAAACGTGCGTCTGGCCAACACAATTTAAATCCTAGTATCTATGATGATATAATTGACTTTTAGCAAACAATTTTTTTTTATATAAATTGGTTCTTTTGAGAGCATGTTCAGGTATTCATAATATATCTGAAAACAAAATATTCTTCAAAACTAAATTTGTCCTGTAGAATATTTGGATTGAATTAAGTAATGTTTTATGAGACGAAAATAATTGCCAGTATATTATAGATCCTAATGAAGCTGCTGTGTTACTCTCAAGAACAAAATGCGCACCCTTTTTATAAGTTGCAGGACACAGAGTTACAAATCACATGGAAATTTTCCCTATTCCACCTCTACCATGAGTACAGACAGCATCTTTGCGCCTATCCCAAGTCAGGAGCCTCTGGCCTTTGTTTGTCTTGTATGTTTTTTTAATTTTAGTTCAGTTATATGTTTTGGAGTTTAGTATGACGTCCATTTTCACTGAACTAGTACACATTTTTATTTAGGGGCCAGCTGAGGCCCACCTCCGGGTGCGGGATTTTCTCGCTCCATTGAGGACCCATTGGTGGCCTTCGGCTGTTATCTGCTCTTTGGTCGGGTTATTGTCTCTTTGACATATTCACCATTTCCATTCTCAACTTTATTTACTATTTACAACTAAAATCAAACGGTGCTTTTAATTGACATCTGCAAGAATCTTATCAAAGTTACACATTTTCAAAATATGTTTTAACATCACGATTACCTTATTCTATTCACAGTCAATAATTTCAAATCAAAAGCGAAAGAAATCGGCAACATTTTTTTGGTGACCAGTCAGCGGTATGGGGTTCACGTATTGTTTTTCTCTTTTGAAAGAAAGCAACTTGTTTATTTTTGCCATGGCGTTGTCAGTATATTTTCGACTTATTCGTTTGAATGCCCCATTGGCATCTTTCGCCTCTCTTTAATGATGAAAACTTTCAGATATTTAAACATGTATTCGAATTTAGATAACAAGTCTGAGAGATTGATTTTCATATAATAATACGCAATAGTGTATTTGCAGTATATACAAATCATTTTATTAAGTCTCCCAAACGAAGTTTGGGAAGACTTATTGTTTTTGCTCAGTTCTTATTATTATTATGGCACCTTCAACTGAGTTGGGGTGACATATTGTTATTCTACGTATCTTTTTCTTTATTATTTTTCTTCCACTTTTTTTGTCCAGACGTTTTCTCGGAATTGTATGGAACAATCTTAATGGAACTATACCAGAATGTAAAACCACCATGTGCAGATGTGCAAATAAGGGTTGGCATATCCAAGATGGCTGCCGTTGTCATCGAAACAGCAGAAATGTCCAAAAAATCAATATGCTTCAAAGTTAATGAAACTTCACATAAATATTGACTGGCATATGCTGATGTCCCATTTGTCTTTGGAATTTCCAAAATGGCTGCCGTTACCATGGAAACAGCAAAAATGTAAAAAAAAATCAAAATGCTCCAAACTCAATGAGACTTAACAATAATGTTAATTGGCATGTGTAAATACCCTCTTTGACTTTGGAATTTTCAAAATGGCTGCCGTTACCCTGGCAATGGGGGAAGGGTGCCATCCGTTATTGCTAGCAATTACAAATCTAGTTATGGCACCCTCAACGGAGTTGGGGTAACGTACTGTTATTCTACGTTTCTTTTTTTCCTTTTTATTATTCTTCCACACATTTTTGTCCGAGCTAGTTCTCGGAATTTAATGGACCAATGTTGATGGAACTCTACTATAATGAGGACCCCCATGTGAAGTTGTGCACCTGACTTTGGAATGGTTCAAAATGGCCACCGTTTCCATGGAAACCATTTAAATGTAAAAAAAATCAAAAATCAAAATCTTTTATTATAAGACCTTACTGGATGAAACTTTATGAAAATGTTAGTTCGTATGCCTAGATGATTTTTCAGTATTTAGAAATTCCAAAATGGCCGCCATTGTCATGGAAACTGGGCGAAAGTTTAACATTGGCCGTTACCATGGAAACACTCAAAATGTCAATTTTTTTCGAAATGCTTCAAACTCTCTGAAAATTTACAGTAATGGTAACTGGCATGTGTAGATGCGATGTTCAACTTTTGAATTTTCAAAATGGCTGCCGTTACCCTGGCAATGAGGGGACGAGGGTGCCATCCGTTATTGCTTGCAATTACAAATCTAGTTATGGCACCCTCAACGGAGTTGGGGTGACGTATTGTTATTCTACGTTTCTTTTTTTCTTATTTTTTTTCTTCCACTTTTTTTGTCCAGCTTATATCTTGGAATTCTATGAACCAATTGTTATGGAACTATACCATAATGTTAACCAACATGTGCAAATTTGCAATCGGGGTATGGCATTTTCAAGATGGCCGCCGTTACCATGGAAACAGCAAAAATGCGAAAAAATATGTACTTGTTAATGTAACTTCAATAATTATACATTATTCAGGCATGACATAAAATACACGCTAGGTATGGAACATTTAAATATCAGTGAGACGGATTCTACCCGAATCTACAGAAAATCATGCAGTCTCCAGTTGTAGTTGATTTCCTCCAGCAAGTCAGTGACAAGTTAGATTTCTTACTCGTCACACTCATCGGCAAGAGGACGAGTTTAGCTCGAGAGAGGCTTTGAAATCGTCTACATTTCTTTAACATTTGTGTATGGGATCGAAATCTTATAAAAAACAAAAAACAAATCCCTTCCCGAAGTTTAACCAAACAATACGAAGTGTATTTACGATTTATTTTCTTTACATCAATGGTTGTCTCTTTTTTTTTTGGCAATTACCGTGATCTACTGTTGTACAAATTCGTTGAATTTCATGAGGTATGATTTTTATTATTCTGGGTTTTTTTTTTAGACGCCGAATGTCATTTGCCTGAAAATCTGAGAAATTCAGATTGGGAATATAAATACACACAAGTATCAGACAATTCAGAACAATCAAAAATACTCACAATCTCAACTACAACGCTACAGAATTCCGTCATCAATTTAAATGCTTTTGGGACAACAATAGACGATTGGACTTGCATAAATAGTTTAACCATCTCTAGCACAGAGGGAGTTATGGTTTTCAAGTAAGAAATATCTAGAACTTATTTAATAATTAAGCCATAACATAAGTTATAGGGATTATCATTTTGTTCTCCTGAAAACGAAGGTTGAGTCGACTATTAAAAACGTCCAGGGATGACAATGTGTTTCCTGAAACTGAGGTTGACTCGACTAATATGTTAAAGGGAAGACCATTTTTTTCTCCTGACAGTGAGAATAACTCGACATTTACGTTTTAAGGTTACCATTTGTTCTGAAAGTGAGGTTGAGTCGACTAAAACGTTATAGGGATGACCATATGTAATTTTGACAGTGAGGCTTACTCGACACAAACGTTATAGTGATGACCATTTGTTCTCCTGACTGTAAGGTTGACTCGACACATGGGTTATACAGATAACCAGTTGTTCTTCTGACAGTGAGAATTTTCGACACATACTTTATAAGGATTACCATTTGTTCTGTCGACAGTGAGGTTTACTCAACATATACATCACATACGTTAACGGGAGGTCCATGATTTATTTCCTCCTGACAGTGAGGTTTACGCGACACATACAATTGTACGTTATAGAAATCAGTTATACAGATAACCAGTTGTTCTTCTGACAGTGAGAATTCTCGACACATACTTTATAGGGATTACCATTTGTTCTGTCGATAGTGAGGTTTACTCAACATATACATCACATACGTTATGGGGAGGTCCATGACTTATCTCCTCCTGACAGTGAGGTTTAAGTGACACATACAATTGTACGTTATAGAAATCACCATGTGTTCTCCTGACAGATAGGTTTACTCTACATATACATTACATTATAGGAAATGACCATGTGTTCACCTGACAGTGAAATTTACGCGACACATACATTTGTACGTTATAGAAATGACCATATGCTCTCCTGGCAGATAGGTTTACTCTACATATACTTTATAGTGATGACCATGTGTTTTTCTGACAGCGGAGTTGACTCGACACATACCTTATAGGGATTACCATTTGTTCTTTTGACAGTGAGGTTAACTCCACACATCACATACGTTATGGGGATTACAATGATTGTTGTCCTGACAGTGAGGATTCTCGACACATACTCTATAGGGATTCCCTTTTATTCTTTTGGCAGTGATGTTTACTCCACACGTAAGTTATGGGGATTACCATGCTTTTTGTTCTGACAGTGAAGATTCTCGACACATACTCTATAGGGATTCCCTTTTGTTCTTTTGACAGTGAGGTTTACTCCACACATACGTTATGGGGATTACCATGATTTTTGGTCTGACAGTGAGGATTCTCGACACATACTCTATAGGGATTCCCTTTTGTTCTTTTGACAGTGAGGTTTGCTCCACACGTAAGTTATGGGGATTACCATGATTTTTGTTCTGACAGTGAAGATTCTCGACACATACTCTATAGGGATTCCCTTTTGGTTTTTTTTTTACAGTGAGGTTTACTCCACACGTACGTTATGGGGATTACCATGATATTTGGTCTGACAGTGAGGATTCTCGACACATACTCTATAGGGATTCCCTTTTGTTCTTTTGACAGTGAGGTTTACTCCACACGTACGTTATGGATATGACCATGATGTATCTCCTGACAGTGAGGTTTACGCGACACATAAGTTAAAGAGACCTTTTTTTCTGGGAATTAAAAAAGGTATCCAAAAATATGCAAAACTTACAATTGTATTCTGCCGATATAGACCCTTTGGAGAAAAGGTAATTTTATTGTGTATCATCTGAAAATTACTTCAAAGGTTTATTTGAATAACATGTATATGTAACGCATTACTACTATGAAACTACAATTACTTAACCATTTTATGAATAAATAAGCTTTAAAAATCGTGTTAACCAGTATTTTCCAGTATTATCAATTTTTACGATTATAACCCAGCCCGGGAAAACCCCAAAACCGCCATCATTTTATTGTAACAGCCAGAGTTTTTAGTGAATTCCCAAAAGTAAACCCCATCCAGAGCAATACGAAATGCATGTACCAATGGTTAATTGCTGAACATAATGTGTATTACATATATATTCCTTTCTTTTTATTTTATTTTTATAATTTTTTTTTATTAATGTTCAATAGTCTACATAACTGTTAGCTGTAATAGTGGTAATTAATAAATTATGGTCAGACATACGGCTTAATTGGCTGCTGATGACAATATCTTTGATACCGAAGATTTCCTTTAGATTCCGTTGTACCTATTTGATTCATTTTTTTTATTTGGCATTTTGCTACATAAAAGTCGCAGTGTGTTTTATGATATACAGATAAGATAGGATAAGTTATTATTTTTTTTTCCAAATTAGATCCCCAGGGGAACATATCACAGTGTACATATAACAATTATGATTACAAATACGAGGCGTGGACACGATTCTGGAATCGAATCCTGGGAATGACTGGGAGTTAGGTTGGAGGGAATTTTGAGAGTCGGGCGGGAACCAGGTGAAGAGGGTAGTAAAAAAGGGATAATGCATGCTTCACAAAAAAAATAGTAAGGGGGGGGGGGGGATCACCGCATGTTCACTCCTACATTAGAGGAGCGGGAACCAGGTGAAGAGGGTAGTAAAAAAGGGATTATTTATACTTCACCAAAAAAAAGTAAGGGGGGAAGTGGGAGTCACCGCATGTTCACCCCCTCAATTACAGGGGTCAGTCGGGTGGGAACCAGGTGAAGAGGGTAGTAAAAAAGGGATAATTTATGCCTCACCAAAATAAAAGTAAGGGGGAGGGAAGTGGGAGTCACCGCATGTTCACCCCTCAATTACAGGGGCGGGAACCAGGTGAAGAAGGTAGTAAAAAAGGGATAATTTATGCTTCACCAAAAAGAAATAGTAAGGGGGAGTGAAGTGGGAATCATCCCATGTTCACCCCTCAATTACAGGGGTCAGTCGGGCGGGAACCTGGTGAAGAGGGTAGTAAAGTAGACGCTCTAAAGAGCCTGTGTCGCTCACCTTGGTCTATGTGCATATCAAACAAAGGACACTCTAAACATTGTAGACGAGAAGACTTTATGACAAAAATCTCTATTTTGTTGATCTTGTTTTACTGATCTTTTAGTCTGTTTAGTTTCTCTCTATCTTCTTTAGTTTTTGCTCAAAACACAAAAGAGGATGAAAAAAAAATCCTCATTTAAGGGCAATCACTCCTATGAAGAGTGAAGTCTACTAACTATATCGTCAAACCATAGATGTATGAGGGTTTATTCATCTATGGTCAAACTTTGACTTTTTAATAGATCTTGCCTTGCTTGTGATCATTTTTGTGATTTAAAGTGTTTATTTATCTATTATAATTTAAATCATATGAGGCATAACGGAAAATAAATGTTTCTCTCTAAATATCATAGTTTTCATGATAATAGGCAAAAATGAAAAAAATGGTAAAATTTGTCATTTATGGGCAATAACTCCTATAAGAATTTGTCTAACAGTTTTGACGTATATGGACAATTGGTAGAGCTCATTATTCTGAACATTTTTGCTCCTTTCAGATTTTCTCTATTTATAACGGTTCAAAAAATAATAGACAAAACTTTCATTTTACCCCTAATAGTATGTTCTATTTTTAGCCATGTCGGCCATGTTGGTTGGTAAGCGGGGTCATCGGACACGTTTTTTAAACAAGATACCCTAATGATGATTGTGGCCAAGTTTGGTTAAATTTGTCTTTGTAGTTTTAGAGGAGAAAATTTTTGTAAAAGAATACAAAAAATTTACAAAAAAAAGTTAGAAAATTACTATAAAGGGCAATAACTCAATAAGGGGTCAATTGACCATTTTGGTCATGTTGACTTATTTGTAGATCTTACTTTGCTGTACATTATTGCTGTTTACAGTTTATCTCTATCTATAATAAAATTGAAGATGATAACCAAAACCTGCAAAATTTTCTTAAAATTACCAATTCATTGGCAGCAACCCAACAATGGGTTGTCTGATTTGTTTAAAATTTTCAGGTCAGATAGATCTTGACCTGATGAACAATTATACCCCCATGTCAGATTTGCTCTAAATGCTTTGGTTTCAGATATATAAGCCGAAGTCTACATTTTACCCCTATGTTCAATTTTTAGCAATGGCGGCCATCTTGGTTGGCGGGCGGGGTCATCGGACACATTTTTACAATCGCGATGACCGTGAGGGTATTCCGATGTATTGCTATCGCCTAGATTTCCATTACGTAACTTTCGTTTTGGGTTTATAACCGATCTATAAACATGATAAATACGCGGATATTAACGAGTGCAAACTAACATTCCTTATCGTTTGTTATAAATACATCTCTTCAATGAATACTGATAAAAATATTTTTGTTTAGAACATAAATTAATGATATGAAAATGTTTTGTCGTTAGATATATATATATATATATATATATATAAGTAAAATATCATTGATAATATCTATGCACACGTACCGAAAAATTGTGTTAAAGCATGCGGAAGAATATCTCAAGAACGTTTTGCGACAATCCCGGCAAGGACCGAAAACTCTATAATTGTTTTTGCGGGAAAATATGAATGCCTACTCATATCCAATCTTTTAGAAGAATCGAATTTTTACAGAAGAGTGTCCACCATGCACTTGCATTGCACTATTATTAGAATAGTATAATAGAATGATATACAAATGGATGAAAATTATATATATATATGTAACTGTTATATTAATATAATATATAACAACTAACCAGTGTATACTGATTTGTATCACTACAATATAATAGTTATTACGGTGAGGTTGAATTTCCTGTCATTTATTCATCATCCTAGCACGAACTTGTCTCAGAAAAAAATATATCTTTGTACATTAACCTCAGTTTCAGGCATAGAGATGTGATTTTTTTCTGTGACAAGTGCTTTTGACCATCCACAAGAACTTGCGGTCATCCGATGTTCAGTACTTCAGTACTTTGATTTAAACTAGATACCCCAATGATGATTGTGGCCAAGTTTGGTTAAATTTGGTCCAGTAGTTTCAGAGGAGAAGATTTTTGTAAAAGTTAACGACGACGGACGACGAGGACGACGGACGATAGATGACGGACGACGGACGCCAAGTGATGAGAAAAGCTCACTTGGCCTTTTAGGCCAGGTGAGCTAAAAAGGGATAATTTATGCTTCACCAACAAACAAAATAGTAAGGGAGAGGGAAGTGGAAATCACCCCATGTTCACCCCCTCAATTACTTTTTGTAAAGAAAAGAATAATTATGTAACGTGGATGTTAGGCGGCCACATGTTATCAATAATTTTTATGATTATAATGATTACAATGGATCATCCATGACTGGAGATTTAAACGTAAATCGGCGTTGTTTAATTACTTCGCTCTCTTGAAAATATCTATTAACTCAAAATTTATGTTTTCCTTCATTTTGATTGACCAAGATTGTCTAAATTTTATTGATAAATGATGCAAAACTATATTTTTCTGATGAAATTTTTGTTAAGATTGAGAACCCCTAGCAAGAGAGACGTAAATGATATGATGTAATTGCTTCTCGTTTCGTTGTGATAATAAAGTTTATTTTACATTGATATACTGTAAATGCTTTAATTACCTAATATTTAATGAACTGTCCTGTCTTGATAGATTCGACACTTGTTAATGAAAGAATAAAGTATACAATTAAAACACACAATACAAAAATAAAGAAATTTCAAACAAGTAAAAAAAAATACAATCACTCAGATTTTTTTTGTTTTGTGATTTTGGTAGCTAAAAATGAAAAATCTTTATAATGTAAGAAAATACTATAAATATTGACTATTAAATACATTAATTTTGTAAATGTTATTCCTACATGTATAGGTTGTTGTTATGATTATATATTACAGAAGTGACACAAGCTTTACCGATGGAGGTTTGACATCAGGAAACAGGCTTTATCTATGTATGAAATTTACAGAAGTTACCTCCGATTTATATTACTTTTACCTTTTGTCAGGTATGTGACTTCATTTACAATTTGAAAAAGGGCTGAGTACAGATACTATATTGTATATTGTAGTGTACACAATCCTCGACAACAAGTATTTAGTGATACACATACATATACATACATGCACGCCCGAATTTAAAAAAAAAGGTGAAGACTAGGGCTAAATTAATAAAGATAGTAAACGCATGTGTTTTGTTTAACTTTATTGAATTAAAAAGAATATCTATTTTATTTATATACAATATTTAAAAACTTTTTTTTAATGTTTGAAGAAGTTGATCATTGTGTTGTTGTGTTCTAAATATTCTGTTAGCCATTTTAGTGTGTTGGCGTTTTATTTCGATTATGTTTTAGTTTTATAAATTTTAAAGAACTCGTCCAAAAATTGAAATAAAAAAAATACACGATATGTAAATTTCTTTGAATGAAACATCAATCCGATAGAAGCAAATTGGAACTTGTGTCATGATTTAAGAATTTGTACTCAAATTTTACAAATGCAGACAAAGGCAATTTGTTATAAGTATGAAATGTCAAACACAAAATAGTTTTATCCTATTCAATTGATTGATTAATTATTGATGTTTAATGCCACTTCCAGCGGCACTATATGCCATATAGTGGATGCTAGATTTTCTTGGTGGAGGATGCTAAAGTGTCAGGAGAGAACAACCGACCTGCGAGAGGAAAACTTGAAGATTAGACTCGAACGCATCTGCTACGCACAAGGTTTAAAATAACAACCTCTGTGTTGACAGCTTAATGATACTGAAGATGAGCAGTTGCAACTTAACGACCACCGAGGTCCGTTGTCCTAATCAAAGTATAGCAATTACAGTATAAGCATGACATTTATTATAACACATATCATCACATTTTACAAAAGAAAAAATTCAAACGAGAGAGAGAGAGAGAGAGAGAGAGAGAGAGAGAGATTCATCGATTGTAAATTTGTATTTTTTGTATACAACATAATCGTTTTTCTTATTTATACAGATATTTATACTGACGTAAATCCGAATGAGAGAGTGTTCGTGTCAACTAACACAGCTGATGATGCTTCAATATGTAACACTTTCTGTCAGTACACAGAGACACCGAAAATTCGTACATTAAGAAAATCAGGTAAGTTGCATAACTTAATTATATATTGATTGTGCAGGTTTTTTTTAACCCCGCCTATGATTGTAGGCAGCGATTATGTTTCGGTATGTGCATCCATCCCCTCATGAATATTAACGGCGACTAGCTTTACACTAGTGTCCATCCCATGTGGTTTAAGGTATAAAAAAAGAAGATATGATTGCTAATGGGACAACCCTCCACCAGAGACCAAATGACATAAACGTTAACAACCATAGGTCACCGTACGGCTTTCAACAATGAGCAAAATCCATACCACATAGTCAGCTATAAAATGCCTCGAAATGACAAATGTGAAACAATTCAAACGAGAAATCTTACGGCCTGATTTATGTATACAAAACAATGAACGAAAAACAAATATGATATACAGTAACAAATGACAATCACTGGATTACAGGCCCCTGACTTGGGACAGGCACATACAGAATGTTGCGGGGTTAAATATGTTTGAAAGCACCAACCCTCCTCCTAACCTAGGACAATGATGTAACTTAAGGTAGTTTACTGTCACGTTTACGGTTTAGGGTCACGTCATCTGCACACTTGTTGCAGATTTTGCAAAATTACGGCTTTGATTACTCAAATATCCGATATGGTGTATTATATCCATCTTGAATGGAAGTGGTTGCTGTTCATGATGTATTGGCCCTAGTATGCCTTCATACCACTTTTATTAAATGATTCTTATTCTTCCATTATAGAATTAAAAAAAAACTGTCCTTGAAACAGGTTCAGAAAAAATTATGTTCGAACATGTCTTTTCTATAAGTCACGATGCATGCATTTTTTTGGGTCAATATTCATGAGATTTCTTAAGGGTGTAACACAAACATCAATCAATTAATAAGTCAATTTCGATTTCCCGTCCAAGTGAATTTTTGCTTAGGTAGTTCATTTTATTTAGAAAATATTAATAAAATACAATTCCCGATCCATAGGACTTTGTTACGAATGTATACGACTGCGTCAAGATAATGCAAACAATTAATGAACCAGGGTTTAAGGTGTTGACTCTGTATAGCATTTTATCTACTTTACAGTTTTATTTTTTTTGTCTTTGTATAGTATTATGTTCCATTTGATCGTATGCCTCTTGTCGCGGTTCGGTATATGTGCATCCAGCTTTCAGATTTTTGACTTTTAGCGCTCTTTATGTGGGTTGGTCCAGAGATGCGATAAGGACACATTGGGATTTTTATTGCGAAGTTTCATTTTGTATACCCTTGTACTTATATTTTAATTTTTATGAATTTTATCGGGTTAGTGTATATGTCTATATGAGAGGAGACCCCTACGGAGCCCCTTAAGTGCCAAGTAAATAGAAATATTTTCGTTCGCCGAACATTTAGATGGTGCGCACTAGTTTGAAAAGTCGTGCACACGGCATCTAAAAACTGGTGCGCATAACTTTCAAAATCTGGTGCGCATAACTTTCAAAATCTGGTGCGCTCGACTTTGAAACTGGTGCACACGAGTTTGAGAGATCCCTCAACAAGTAGTTAGGTCAAAGGTCACCAATTTGAAAGTTGTGCGCGCCACTTTAAAAGTCATGCAAACCAGTTTGAAAGTCATGCACACAAGTTTGAAAGTCATGCACACAAGTTTAAAAGTCATGCGAACAAGTTTGAAAGTCGTGTGCGCCAGTTCTTGAAAGTCTTGCACACCATCTTTGAAAGTCGTGCGCGCCAGTTTGAAAGTCGTGCGCACAATTTTGATAGTCATGCGCAACAGTTTAAAAGTCATGCGCTCCAGTTTCAAAGTCATGCGCACCAGATCTTGAAGGTCGTGAACACCATTTTTGACAGTCGTGAGCACGTGTTTGAAAGTTATGCGCGCCAGTTTCAAAGTCATGCACACAAGTTCGAACGTCGTGCGCACGAGTTTTCAACTTGGTGCGTGCAAAATTTAATATCTAGCAAACGAACATATTTATATTTACATGACACTTAAGGGGCTCGATCAGTTATGCTATACTATACTGGCTGTATCAACTACATAATCTTTTTTTGGCTGGCGTATTTGTTTGATTCAATTGTAAGTGTGTTTGTTCGGTGTGAGCCAAGGCTCCGTGTTAAAGGCCGTACTTTGACCTATAATGCTTTACTTTTACAAATTGTGACTTAGATGGAGAGTTGTCTCATTGGCACTCATATCACATCTTCTGGTATCTATTGAACGTTAAATTAAGCTGTGTTGTATGCCTTTGATGTGTGCTACTGGATGCAAGATATGACCACGTAAACCTATTAATTCTGTTAGTGTTGCTCCCCACATTTGACAATATTACGGAACATTAAACAGCTGTCATACAAGTGGGCGTATAAGCAAGCAAGAAACCAAGATTTAACCCACCATTTGCTTAGGAAAATGCCTATGCCAAGTCAGTAATATGACAGTTGTTTTTCTGCTTTTTTGTTTTAAACAATGTTTTCCCCAATTTTTACAAAAATCAGCAAGGATCTTTGTTGTACAGATACATGTATGACTATGCATAAAAATTAATGGGCATCAGATGAGACAATCTTAACTTTACAAACAAAATAAAACTTATGCAGGACAGACAGACATCCTTCTATTGTTATAAGAAAACTAGTCGGTGTGGTATTATCAAAAAATCAAATCAAATGGCATTGAACCATTATAGCCCTATTCACAAACAAAAGTGAAACGGAATAAGTCATTTAAATCCAATCTGTTGATATACCGATTACAAGCATAAATAATCACTTGTTTAAAGAAATATTCGAGCGTTTTCGTGGATATTTTGCAATAACGTATAAGCGGCAACAGATCTTTCACTATCATCCAAATGCGGTACCCGATCTTTCACGATCAGTAATATCAATTTTTTTACAAATATTACCGTTTTTGCAAAGTTTCTGAATAAACTAAATCAAAATAACTTTAAGAACTATTTCAAACAGTAATATTGAACGATATTTCTATGAGAAAAGTATTTTATGCATTAAAAATTTGAAGAAAAAAATCGTGTTTGTTTACATTTTCATTTCTCTGAAATTTTGAAAAGCAATCTGCCTTTAATTTGTAGTTTTGTAAAAACGGTGTATATTTAGGTCTTGATTTTTCTCGGATTCTAATCAGAATGTTGAACCATTTTGACAGACGGTCTTGTTTTTCCGCAATATTTTTCATAATACTTGATTAAATAAGATTATTTACTGACGGAGGATGTGTCTTCTCGGTAATATTTCATTCACGATCCTATCGCAATGCTTGACCACCGTTAGCTATTCTTTCACGATCATTCCTCTCGATAAAACGAATGACACCCGTGCTTAAACTCCGCAAATCATCTTCCGATATCATCGGCAACCATACGTTGATTACATTTTTGTATACAATGGTTCAAGAAATGGTTAAATTGCCAAAGAATTAGAAAAGTGTTTAAATATGTTGTTTCACTATTTATCATACTTAACTAAATGTTGAAGTTTTCGATAAAGGTAATTATACCACTTCGCCCTATTTGCAATGACATATTTTCCCTCCCGATATCAAAATATCAAAATTTCAACTGTCTCGAACTTAGTTTGAAATCCTCATGTATATTCATTTTACTTTATTTTTTATTCCCCCTCCCCGTATATAGGATTATAAACACCCTGTCTGTCTGTCTGTACTCTCCGTATACCTTGTCGGCACAACTCCTTAAATTTCTATACGGCTTGACGGATATTGATACAAAGTAGCGTAGTTGTAAAGCACTACCTGGTGATGTGTAGAAGGGAATATAACAACATATTGAAGGGGAAATAATCAAATCTATTTACTTCAAAATACTTTTACGTCATGCATTGCGGGAATGGTGTATCTCTTTGTTAGTTCACTCGCAGTTCTATGTTTGTTCACAGGTACAAGTGACAGCTTGCCCAGCAGTACACCTTTATGTGAGTGTGGCAGCTCATGCAGCAGTAGAGCTTATTCTATAGGTAAGTTTTTAGGGGTAAAGGTTGAATTAGACCAATCAAAACACTTTTTAGGGGTAAAGATTGAATTAGACCAATCAAAACACTTTTTAGGGGTAGATATTGAATTAGACCAATCAAAACACTTTTTAGGGGTACAGATTGAATTAGACCAATCAAAACACTATTGTCACTAGCTTGCTAGCTATATTTTAAGCTACATCCCAGACTTCATGTTTTCCCTACCAAACAAAGTGAAATTATGTGAACATAAATCAGATCCTATCCATACTCACGTCAAGCTATTTATTAAAATACTGTATGTTCAAAATTTTAAAAGTTACAAACAGATGCATACATGTATGTGTATAACCATGCTTAATGAATAAAAAAAACTGTTCTATTAAAATATACATACTGCGGAAACAGTACATGGCGTTTGAATCGAACTGTTCTACATACAATTAAAATTGACAAAGAATGGTTACTTCAATTCAAATATTGCCTGAATTGGTTCCCTTGCATAATACATACCGATGTAGTTCACAATGCTAAATAAAAGCAATATTTACCCCTCGGTGAACAGAAACGCTTTGTTAAGATCAGCTGGTTCAGATGCAATGCTCTTTAGAAACTTGACAGATCCATTCATAACTAAATAAATTTGAAAAAAAACAGGAAACATGAAGATGTATATCCACACATATTAAGCTTTCGAAACAGAAAAAAAGAGGGAGTAATTTCTCCTCAAAGATAAAAATAGATTGTTTTTTTAACTCAACAAACCGTTTTTTAACTATGGTATGTACTCCCCATACAACTGTTCAACTATGCATGTTAAAAAACAACGATAAAAGGTTCAAATATTTTTAAATATTGACAATGTGTTTCGATGAAAAAACAATTCGACATCTTCCGCGTGGTTGATACATAATTATGCGTGTTATGCTTTGTCGGCACAGGCTACATATTTTACTATGGAATGAAAATGACAGCCTCATGCGCTTCTCTGGATATGACTCTAATACAGGATTTTCAAATCTGCCTCGGTTATCTCGTTGAGGCGTCCAGGCGTTTTGGTCTCAAAACTTTACCCAGTACTCGGTCCACAAAATTTGTCGAAACACCGAACCCAGTATAATAATAATTATTGTGATTTGTTGATTTCTGAGTCTGAGAACGATAATTGTACTTTATAATTTAAAGCCTGTAAGGCCCGGTCTCGAGGTTGGTTGTCATGCATGGGGTCAATCACAGTCCGAGTAAAACCAAAGAACTAAAATTTGTGTTTACTCTCTCTGCAAAAAGCAGGGTGGGGTGGGTGGTGAAAAAAACATATAAAACATAAAAAAAAAAATAAATGATAGACGACTGTAATTAACTTTTCAAGATCCCCTTCCTCGTGAAAAGAAAACCAACCACACTTTCCGATCTACTCATACGCCACTGGAGAGATTTGAGTTTGCAATAATATATAATAAAACACGGATAGAATATATTAAGAAGATAGTTTAATGGTTGGTTTGAATACATATTATATGTTCGCTTGATGTGAAAATTTAAAATATGAATGAAGGTGATATAAAATAAACGTCAATGAGACAGCAACTTAATTACACAAAAGAAAAGATGCCTAGCGGTCAATATACAGTCCTATACCACGTTGAAGTGGTTACACTATGTGTTGAACTCTAAATCTGCTTTCTTATATAACAGGTTTCAACAAAACTTGGACAATTGTCTTTGTGGCCATAGGACTTGTGTTTAACAGTCATAATCGATAGCTATGAACATAAAAAACAGGTACGTATTGATACACTCTATAGCATTCCCTTGATAAAATAGTTTACGCATATAATGTTGATATAATACGTGCATTCTACATTACAAAGCATCGATAGAGACTTTTTTCCAATTTTTTAAAATTGTTAGAAAGAGAAATAGCACCAGTACAGGACAAACTGTATCCCTGCCAATGGAAAGCATGTGAAATACGCATATTGTATTGCCGGGTCTGACAATACCTTTATCTTCGTAAGAATCTTACATATTAATTACTTTTATGGTCAAAATGGGATTGTAAGAAAAGAGGATTTTATTTGCAATTAAAATTCATTAATCTAACGTACTTTAAAATATTCTCTTTCTATAAGGTAATCTGCATAGACAGGGATACAGTTTGTCCTGCCTTGATGTTGTTCTACTTTGCCAAAAAACTAAATTTGGAAACAAAATGGGTAATGCTCTTCAACTTCGTACTTTATTTTTAAAATTGAGAATGGAAATGGGGAATGAGTCAAAGAGACAACAACCCGACCAAAGAGCAGAAAACAGCCGAAGGCCACCAATGGGTCTTCAACACAGCAAGAAAATCCCGCACCCGGAGGCGGGCTTCAGCTGACCCCTAAACAAAAATGTGTACTAGTTCAATTAAAATGGACGTCACACTAAACTCCAAAAAATATAAATGAACTTAAATTAAAAAACATACAAGACTAACAAAGGCCAGAGGCTCCTGACTTGGGACAGGTGCAAAAATGCGGCGGGGTTAAACATGTTTTGTGAGATCTCAAACCTCACCTATACCTCTAGTCAATGTAGAATAAACAAACACACAGCAATTAATTGCCTTTTAATATTTTTTTATTCGTGTGTCACTGATAAATCTTTTATAGACGGAACGCGCGTCCGGCGTTTTAAAAATAATAAGACCAGGGCTGATATGCATAAAACTACTTAAGTTAAGATTAGTTCCGAACAGACGGATTTTTTTACATGTCCTACGATAAATTAGTACTACGATTGGATATTTTAACTTGAGTGGTTTTATGCATATCAGCCCAGTAACTATAAAACAAATTAACTATTGACAGTTACAGTAATAATCATAATTCCAACTTGGCGATAAAGGTTCAGCAATAAGCAGTTCAAATGTCTTGATATATGATGTTTCATAAAATATGCAGTTTAGAAAGACAATATGCTGTTCCGTTGTTTTTCGATTGGCACGTTTTTCATGACAATGTTGTCCTGTGTACAAGTATCCCCTTTTATTTTTCTTAGTTATATTCAATATTGCATATGCAATGAAATGATATGCAAACTATGTGGTAAATGTATTTTTGTGTTCTTTTGTGTATAACTTGGTTGGGTATGGTTTAAAGGAGCGATCCTTACAGCTGAATTGTGCTAAAGGTTACTTTTTTTAGGGGGGGGGGGTCCAAAATTAGGTAAATACGAGGCAAAGCCCACTCAGGTAAAGTTAATGCAGTAATAATGTTAAACAAGTTAAATGTACTTTTTTCATATACACAATTATTTATAATTATGTTTTCATTATTTTCATTTCAGACTACAAATGGTGCCAATCTTTAGACAAGTAGGATACAGTTTATTGCTGAAAAGATTTCCGGAAAGCTTTCTATTAAACGTTCTTGCCAATTATGCAGTTTACATTCAAAATGAAAATGTAACTAAACGTTTTCTACAAAAATAGTTAGAGCGGATCACTAAAAATACATGTACAAACAGTTTAAATATATCAACGAAAATTAATTGTGCAATTATGCAATTAAAGATCAAGGAGGATGAACTATAATTATCATTAACGCGTTTGCAGTTAGCTTCTATTATTCATCATTGTTTTAGAGGATTTCCACATGGAATCAAACACCTTTCCAAAGACTTCCAATATACGTTTTATTTTTATATCTCTCTCGTCTTTCAAGCACTTACGGACAAAACAAACACTCCAGTCATAAGTGTTCAATGAATGGGGAAGTGTTTAACCCCTTAGTCAATGATAACATTGCAATATTATTTTTAAAAGTGAAAATTTGAATAGTATATTTTATATCAGTTCATCTGTACTGAGATTTTTATTGCATTGTATAAGACACTATTTTTGCAAAATTACACATTAAGTTATACTAACTTACTTTTAATCTTTCGATTAATTCGTTATAGAAGATTAAGATGTTCACAAGGATTTTCTAAATACGTGTGCCATATGCCTACCAAAACTTATGAATGAAATCTGGATTGGTTGTAATGATGCATTTTTTATTATTTCCTTACGCGGAAGCATCAGATGCGCCACTTTAATGCACTTATGTTTACACTTCATATTTTAAGCACAGCTAAGTCTGTCTAATATGGAGACCAGTTTGTGACGAATACAGAAAAAAAAATTGTGCGCGCAAAATAATATAATGTGCGCAAAAAATATTATAATATGCGCACAAAATATTAAACTGTGCCCACAACATATTAAAAAGTGCGCGCAAAATATTATAATGTGCGCACAAAATATTATATTGCGCCACAAAATATTTATGTTGTGCGCACAAAATATTTATATAGTGCTGTAAAGGTTCCCAACGGGGCTCCGTAGTCTAATTCATTTGTGGGAACATCACAGTTATATATACTACATGTAGTATAAATATCATTAGTTTATTCTTTTGTTACGAATAATAATCATTTTTGTTGGACGTGCATAAACATTTAGTTCAAAATCTAGTTTGATTTTTGTTGAAAAAAGAGTACAAGTTTATATGAGCCAATTTTTTATTTTGGATAAGAACGCCCACTTTGTGTGCTTCGCGCCATATTAGGCTACTATGTAAATTATTTGCTGATTTATATCGAAAGCTATGAACAATAACAATGTTGTTAATTTCAAGCGAAATAATAACAAAAGTGGCTCGAACTTTTAATTTGTTTCAAAGTCTAACTCGAACCTGATCTTTAACTAAATTGAGTTTCATTGACGTTTGTCAAATCTATTTTGATCACCAGGGGATGGGGGAGGGGTCTCTTCCTATATAAAGGTATACACAGACGTGCCACTGGTATGGGTCACTTTTTGGAATGTCAAATATATCAATGGGGTGCATTTTCACGAAGGTAATATACCAATGGGTAGAAATTTATATGTCAATGGGTCATAAATTTTAAGGTGTCTGTAAAACCTGTGTTCTGATCTATTTACCTAATAATATGAAAGATCCTGTGTGGTTAACGTCTGAATAAGATGTCGTGATAGCTGGGGAATATATTAAAATGGGTTTTGATGTGCCTATGACATATATAAATGGGTAGGGATTTTCTCAAAAATCAATATATGAATAGGGGGTGTTTTTAAATCCCAGCCTGACGTCTATACCTATATTTGTACGTTAAGATGATGTCAACTTTTGTCTATATGTTTTATTGTATAATAATTTATTGATACAAAGAATTATATTGTTAACATTTAAATTGTGACGTAACAGATTATGGAATTAGATTTGCTTGCTACCTTGATGCAATGTTACGCAGCGGACTATTTTCATATTACCGACTTTTGACTCCGGATTATAGAATTTTTCAACAGGTTATCTTTTCTGTGGTTGGACATCCTGGTACTCGGTCCAGTAGGAGCAACCAAAAAAAGTAAAATCAAACATATAATTGCTGTTATTTGAGGGGTAAGTTTACTGTTTTCCGATGATTTTGTCGTGTAAAGAAAATGTAAAGCAGTTAATTTCCCCATAAAATTGTACCGATTGAAAACTTGGTTTTACTTCTTTACTTTGCTCTTACTTGACTTGGTACCAGGATGTCCTACCACAGAAAAGGTAACCTGTCGAAAAATTATATATAACGGAGTCAAAAGTCGGTAATATGAAAATAGTAACGTTTTAGTGCAAAAGGGACAGCGTAAAACACACAAACGGCGAATAAGAGAAACAGAAAATCCTGCATCACGTTCGTCCGTGAAAATGTTTTTCAAATTAGCAAACAGTGGACCATTTATCTGTAGAATTAGAACGCCTGTTTAGCAATCTTCTCAAAACCTGTATATTGTTAAATCCCTTTGCACAGTACTATCGTTTTAAAATATTAAAGGCAAAAGTGTTATTATTACATCACCGAAACAGTGGCCAGTTTATCTGCTACTTGATCTGTCAAAACAAGCATGGCGTAGTGTATCGACGACACCGAGGCTGTATGTGGTGCATACATCAATGCCTGAGGTTGTCAATGTTGTCTTACTAATAAATGAAGACTGCTTGATTTTTTAATTTCCTTCATTGTAAATATACCTTCCATTGTGTTCAATTTCCGCCTCTTTTTATCATGCAATAATAGTTATGTATAATCATTTTTATTTTATTTTTAAATAAATAAATAAATATGGAAAAGAAACATTGTTATTGAGATTGAAGGATGAAAGCACACCGAAAAGGTAAGATGATATTTGCGGGAAAATAATATGTCCTGGCGAAAATCACTTGAGGATGCACGTCAGGACAAGGAATTGTTTCAGATGTTCGGACTCCTTGGGTTTTGTCCTACCATACAGGATAAAATATTTTGCCCCATATCACCCTCTTTTCTTTTCATATAAGACTTCAATAGCTCATAAAAGGTCCTTTATCAAAATTTAAGCAGATTTCTTACGATTTGAGACCCAAATGATGCCAGGCTTAATATAAGATAAAAGTCAGAGTCAGCCTTTTTCCGCCATTAAAAAAAAATAAATATCTCGAAAAGAAGTTCCATAACCTATCAATATGTTTAGTTTATTTTGTTCCCTAACTAAATTAAATGCTCTTCTGGTGTATAGTATCAATTTTAAATTCCAGATTTATTTTAATTTCACCTGACTACATCCTTAATAGAAACATAAAGGGAAAATATATAATGTCGATTGTCCGTCAGGATCCTTTCTTGTTACAGGCACTTTCGCGTGTAACTTCCAAATTGTCTTTTTTGTTTAAATTTTAAGATTAAAACGATTGTTTACAATTTGGTATTACTTGCTTTGCACAGTAAAACAAACGTTTTTTCTTTGCACTGATGCGACATGAAGCAAACAACAATCATTCGAATGCGGCTTTGTGTTTATACGGAAAACACACGTGGGACAACCTAACTGGTTTTCAATGGCAAAAGTAGTCTTAAGTTGTAAACTTTTATAATTACATTTAAGAAAACTAAGCCAACAAAATAAAACATCTTAAAATACCAATGTATGCTCGATACATTTAAAAGAGAGTCAGCACCTTTACCCATATAAAACACCGTACTCTTGACGGATGTCACCAGTGGAGCAGAGACTACTTGGTTTACTTACGTTACAGCCAACTAAATACTGTTAACCAACTAATTTTCGCGAGCGATTTATTTTCGCGACTTTCGCGAGAAGAAAATAACGCTAATATAAATCGGCGAGAAAATTTAAAACCTGGATATTTCCTTGTCTAACTACATCAAGTAAATTTGAAAATTGCGAAATTAAATCGCCGCGAATTGGGATAGTAAAGAATAAACGCGAAATAAAGTATCCGCGAAAATAAGTTGTTTTACAGTACTACATACAACCATCAACAATTGAACATTTGACTGTGTGAAACTAAAAATTCAATAAACTAATAATATTAAAAAAAAACATTATGAAAAATATTGTTGGGGTGTAAAAACTCGGACCTGAACGGAGAATTAAAAATCTGTATGAACCTAATTTTTAGTTTCACAAAATCTAAAGTTGAAGGAAATCCATTGAATATTTAAAAAGTTATTGAAGTTTGAATAAGTCCGACCATAGATTTTCAGGTCCGTTCAGGTCTTTTAATTTCTCCGTTCAGGTTCAAGTTTTGGCATCAAAAATTGGTTTTTTATTTTAAACATTTTATTTTTTATGAAATGTTGATCTTTACATTTAATAAAATTCTAACTTGAAGAAATTCCATTGAAAAATAAAGAAGTTATTGCAATTTGAATAATTTGAGTCGTATATCTTCAGGTCTATTCAGGTCTTTTCAGGTCCACTTTCAGGTCTTTAGTGTAACCCGCGTTTTAATCCTGAATTATTTTCTATTACTAATACTTGTGATCTAAATGTGATTTGGATTGATGTGAAAGATAGGATATCATAATCGAAATCCTCAGTCATATATAGTGCACGATTACTTGTAAATGTTTCTTCAATAGTTTACACACCATCTTGTTGGACTCGTGAAAGCGTGAGCGCCTTGAGAGCCAAATGTTGCGGTTCCATCAACTCATCGATTACTATCAAATTAATATGTACTGTATCTCCATGAAGCACGAGGCATATATAAGTAAATAAAAGCAATGGTTTGTTCGATCAAAACAGAATACAGGATTCCTGTAGAGTGCATATATATGTTCTCTTGGACTTTTTAGATTAACGTCAAATGGCAAATATTTCATGCATAGTCAGGAAAATAACTATAAAAAGTATGCTCTGTAAGTTTCCAAATTGCGTCGACTTGAATGAAGGTCGGAAATTTAGACTGCCCATGGAAAATTAAGGTATTTTGAATAGGGGAAACATTTTGGCTTGAAACAGGCCACTGAATATTTGAAACAGTTTGCCTTGCAGCAGGTCATCGATGGACGATCAAAAGAGCTGCTGTAATGGTTTCATGACGTGAAGAGAGTCGTTTTTGACATACCAATTCCGACGAGACATGGCTGAGTATTTACACACCCCGCATAGCAAAATGAGGTTCCTTTGCGGGCGAGTCGTGCCCCTTTAACAGAAAAAATAAGGCAAATTTTAAACCACGGTGCAACCTCTAACTAGGCTATTACTTTTTGAACTAGCACGTTAAAAAGCCTATTAAACGAGTTGTTCTAGTAACAATATAAAAATAAGAAGACGTGGTATGATAGCCAATAAGACGACTTTCCACCAAAGTTTAGTACCAAGTATGGTTTATTCTTTAGGGGCCTGAATATAATTTGTATTTATCGCTGGTATGAATCAATCAGTCTTAAAAACATTTTTAACCTCAATGGCCCAATCAACTTACCTCGGGTGACTCCACTTCTCTCCGTCTTAGGTACGGAATCGGCCGAGTTGTGACGAATGCTCAAAGACAATAATTTCAAACAACATGAGTTGAGAAAACAGTGGTCGAACCTAGTTTTCAAGTTTAAATTTAATAACCGTGGTTAAGTGAGAGTAACGTGAATCTTAAAATCATTCGAATAAGTGTTTAATATCGACAGAAATAGTCAAGATATCATGTTCTCTGTAGAGTACATTGAAAGTTTGTAAAACCTGTCTTTATTTGTAATTGTAAATCATTTTGAGTTGTTTTATTTATTCATTTTGAGTTTTTTTATTTATTTGATTCAGATATTGTCATGTTTAGAAGCCGAACTTTTACGTTTGTTGTTAATTGAAATTTTGAATACATATAAAAGTACATGTACACGCGTGGAGATTGAGTCATCATCGATTATCCTAGGGTACATACATGTATCATACATGGTTAGGAAGTGCCATGATAAATCGCATTAAAATGCAGACGACCTAATCTCCCAATGTACTTTATACTTATTCAAAATTTCAATTTAATTCTAATTGAAATGAATAAAATTTACAAATTTATTGTATATTTAGGGGATTTTACTGGCATTTTTAATTTAATGTCAACAATTTTTATTTTTTGGCTATGTATGAATACATTTTTTTAATACTTATTACATTTTAAATCTGCAACTGTGTTTCTACTGCGAGATCGACATGTTTATCCTGTTTCGAATAATTATAAAATATAATTACTTTTTTGCAAAGTCCTTTGTGCTGTTGTGTTCAATTATGTTCGAAAAGATCGATTTCGTTTAAAGATCCCATGCATGAAATATTACATAATTAAATATTTATTTCTGACGTACAAGGTATAACCGAATTTTTAGATTTGTTTACGTTTTAATCGATTTTTTTTTTTTTTTTAAATCTTAAGAACAAATATGTGCATTATATATCATGACAAGTTTAAGGCGTGTGCACTTCATATTCTTCTTTATCGCCAATCTAATGATTAAAATATAGATAGATCTCTGATTTCTTTATACTCATGACACGCGAGTTGCGATAGATTTGAATTTTAATCAGATTGGCTATATCATGCGATATTTATATAAGAGGGTCTGGATAGGGTTAACAGAATAGAGAATAATGGCAAAAAAATAATGAATAGAGATAAATGAGCTAAACAAATAAAGAATAGAGAATAATGGGGTACAAATGAATAAAGAATAACTGTAAAAAATAAAGAAATAAGGTAATAAAATACTGATTACAGAAAGAACCATGTACAGAATAAAGAAATCATGTAATATCAAACAAATCTGATAGTAAAATGATTTCTTGAGAATTTTATAGAAAAAGCGTTATTTTAGAAGTTACAAATGACCAAATCAATATAAAGAATGCAGAAATGAAGGACTCCCATCCAGACACTCATATAAAAGAAAAGAGTATGGTAGTGATAGTTATTCGTTTTCCAAAATGCATACACTGCGTTTAATTATACCATTGATAATTCATTACATGATCACTACATACCGGGACAGAGATTTTGCAGTGGATTATTTTATAGTCGCAGGATCTTTATTTTTAACTTGACTTATGGATAATTGTGGATCACTTATGGATAATTGTGGATCAATTTAGAGGTATATGGTGACTATTTTTGGGTTATATAAGTGGTGATGGTTTTTTAATGGACAACTCGAGGGGATTATGAAATATAGGGAGCTCGGTTGCCGAGTTGTCAAAGCAGCTCATCTACAGCGATAACTATATAAAAACTAGAGGCTCTAGCGAACCTGCACGATCAACACACAGGGATAAACCTATATAGAATAGTTGCATTATATACATGATATAGGGCAGTTGTTAACAACTAGATAGTGCAATAAAGAATTTGTTAATGTTAAAAATTAACCTGCATGAGTCGTTCATCTAGTTCTATATGCATCTTCAACAATTCACACTCTCCAACAATGTAGACTAGAATAGAATTCATGACAAACATCTGAGTCTTGTTGATCTTGTATTGCTGATCTTTTTTTCTGTCAACAGTTTCTCTCTGTCTTCTCTAGTTTTCGCCCAAAACCCCAAAAAAGGGTAAAACAACCGTCTTTAAGGGCAATCATTTGTATAAAGAGTACAAATATATCGGCAAAATTTGAATTGATTGAATATCTTGTCCTGCTGATCATTTTTGTTATCTATCTATAGTTTCTATCTATCTTTTATAGTTTTCAATTAAGATAAAAGGCAAAACAATTGTATATCTCGTCATTAAGAGCAAGAGCTCTAATAAACGAGTTGACTAACGATTTCAACAATGTTGACTTATCGTCATTAAAGGACAGCAACT